CGTGGACGGCAGGATTCGAACCTGCGCGGGCAGAGCCCACATGATTGCTAGTCATGCCCGATAACCACTACGGCACGTCCACCGATGTGTATGGCGACAATAAAAACTATTGATATATTATCCAAACATAATAATTTTTATGAAACATATAATTTTTTTCTTATCAGAAGTTTTATTTCCTTATTAATGAATTAGTATGTTTTAAAATAAACATTGTTAATTAATTACAGTTTGATTAAACGTATAATTTTTTCTTAAAATAGCTCCTATCTTATTGTTTAGTTAAATTTAAGTAATAATTATCTAAACATATTTTGAAATAAAACTTTGATCAAGTATAACCATACACTAGTGCATATTTCAACATAATAATGTCCTTTAGAAACAGTAAGCCTCTGTTTAACAAACATTAAAAAGTTTTTTTTTTTGAGAAAATGAGTTTTGGAATATTGATTTTTTTGGACAATGTGTGGTTAAAAAAATTATGAATTTACGTGCAAAATATTTTACTTTGTGAATGTGTGATTAATAAAAAATGTTTCGAGAAAATGAATGACAAACATTGGCTAATTAAGTTGAAGGGCCCAAAAGGCCAAGTACTCCACCTACCTCCCAACTCGAAAAGCCCAACACTCAATTGGATCAAGGTCCACTCCCACATTATATACTCATCATTTCCCAACGCAATAGCCCACTCACATGATTACCAATATAAATCCTTCATATATTTCACCATATTAATGCTACGTAGCCCTAGTCAATCATGCTGGGTGTATAATGTTGGATGACAACTTTATTGATAACATGCCACATGACAACAATTAGATAGTTTGAATAACTTATTTTTTCAACCAACACTTTTTTGTCAACTCATACATTATCAACAATGTTGTCATTCAATATACAAATAGCTTAATCCTTGGATAGTCTCACGTACTTTACTTTTTTATTTATATATATTATAATATACACTTAGGCGTGTTAAATGGATCAAACTGAAGTGCTCGGTTCGTCCACCGTCGGCTCAACTCGACTCATCAAGCGAGTTGGCTCTCACTCATGTATCGAGCGAGCATGCCCGCTTCATCAAATGTGAACTCAACTTTTGTGCCACTCATGGCTACTGATTTTCTTTTAGAGACAATTACATTTCACTCACTAATTATGAGCCCTCGAGCGATTCACAAGAGGTTTTCGCTATTCAGCTCGTTCGTGGAGGTGAGCTGGCAGTTCACACCCCTATATACACCATCTCAAATTTAGAGCAGCAGGATTTCTCATCTAAGCTAAAGTCAGATCTCTTATTGCTTTTTACCACCTTTTTAAAACTTTTTTTAGCATGGGATAATGGTTCCCACTAAATTTATCAGTGCCCTTTGGACTAATAAAATTCTCAGAATCATTTGAAAATCAGGGGATAACAAGTGGATGGTGCAATATGATTGTACCTTTATAAAGAGAAAGGCATATCTACACACATACACTGTCCCACTTTCTTCTTTTGGAGCCCATTTTTATTGCTATAACCAACATTTTGCCATCTTTTTATCAATGAAGTGACACTTCCTAATTAAATTTTCCCTATGTCTATAATTATTAGATTTAATGATTTTAAGAAAATATCTCTCAAAATACTCGACTATTCCGTTCGCAATGCACGATGCAAAATAAAGTATCACGTGACGAGTGATGAGTCTTACTGTCTTCGAATGATGGATTTCGAGTGTGATGTAGAATCGCAATCGCTGTGTTGCCTTAGTGTGAGTTTCAACTTTTCAAGCTCCGCTTTCCATAAAACGAGTAGGCCCGACCCTTTTTAGCTAGACACGCAAGGTAGGGGTAGCTTTTTCATCACATGGAGGGACACCATTTACCTGTATTTGATAATCTAAATTATTGAAGAACAATAATATTCTTAGCAATGGATAAGTACGAACTATTAGAACAACTTATGGGCTAGTAGGGGACCACTCAAAATGGCCATAGTTTATGTTGCAATAGTGTCTTTGTAAAGAAGATCACTTCGCTGCAGGTAGGTTATATATACACTTGGACTGCGAGGGAGACGAACCATCGTGGTACAGTTAGCGCAGTACATTGAGACGAAGATGATGAAGAAGAAGAGAAAGAAAATGATGCAAAAGACGGTGAGTCGCGCACACATATGTGTATGAAACTCTTTCTATGGAAGGGTAGTATGAACCACGAAGGCAAGTCATAGAGGCAAAGGGAAGGTGACGCCTTTCTTCCAGGATTTTTATATTTTTATATATTTTCGCAATTAAGTGGTTACTCAGCAGATTTAGCAATGAATCGAATGGAGCTTTGGAAAGACAATGCAACTGACCAAAACTTACTGGGAATAAGGCTTGAAGGGTCGTTGGTTTTTGAATTTTCCTTTCTTGTTCCAATTGTTCCTCCCGCTGTTGTTTCTTAATCTTTCTCATTTCTTGTCTCTCTTTTGAATTCAAAATGAGCAATATTTGCTATCTTGTTTACCTTGTGAATCTCATGGTGTGTCTGTGTGTCTACACATGCGGTTTTCAGGCATGTTTGCTAAGTTTGTCTCCACTGAAAGACCAACATTTTACTCTCACAATTGTGTTTAATATATTTTATATGCAGGTTTAATAGTTTTAACATATCATTTAAAGTCACATAAACTGTGTTTCCATCTCCACTGGGGATGAATAACATTAATCATTTCTTTAAGGCTAAAATGGTATAGATTACACATTTCTTAAAATTATCTTCGGAAAAAGAGATTCTAAACACAAAATATTCTCTATTTGGAGAGTCAGTACGTAAAAAAAAAAGCTCCAAAAATACTCTTTATTTTAACTTTTTAAAATAAAGAACGAGTCTCTGTTCTTAATTTACAATAATTGCATTTAACAAGTTATAAATTCCAATACTCTACAATTTAAATTATTCAAATCATATTCGAATTGATTGATCATTAACACATTAAAATTTTTTTTGTTAAATAAAAAATGAGAAGAAATCAATAAATGTTTATTGAAAAAAAAAATAAGGAGTCAAGATAAATAACATTGTTGAAGTGCATAGAAAAATTTGCTCTAAATTTAAAGACATACTCTATTATGCATAAGATGCTCTTTGTAAATAGAGAATTTCTTGAAAATGCTCTTATTCTCCGATAAAATATTACTTTGCAACTATGGATACAATTGAAATTAATACTATATATAACTAGAAGTTTAATGTATTAATAAATTTTATCATTTGGCATGATCGGCTAAACCAACTCGAATCAATAATGATGCGAAATTTTTTGAGAACTCATCAAGGGTGAATTTATTCACCCAACATGTATATTATCTGGGAAATTTATGATATAATTATTTTTAATCCATTAGATGATCATATGCATGTTTATTGTATACTCGTAACTTTGAGTTTCCGAGATCAAATTTTAAATTAATACAATTTCGCCTTGATAATGTTAAGTGAGTTTACATTCTAATTTTTTTTAGTCATGATTACGGTTAAACATTCTATTATTCAACGGTAATTAATTGTTAAATCATTACTATTGAAAAAGAAACACTTCCGGTTTTCATTCAAGGAAAGCTATTTTACATATTGGTAATGGTGGTGCAGATACTCTTTCATATTTTAAAAGGATGCACCTCATCCGTAGTGGCCCCCACCTCCCCTACCCTGGACCTTGGTGAAAAAGATAAATCGCAGGTTATGCCTTCAAGAGTATAAGATGGAAGGCTGCTTGTACACTTGCACTTACCCAATGACCAAATCCATATTTCAGTTCTCTTTCATATTTTAGATATGATGTTTGTTTGTGGTAGTCTGTCGCAATAACAAGGATCGTGTGACAGTAACATCAGTGATGATATAATAATAAATTTTACAAGTAACGGTGAAGGTCAACCCGATGGTAGTGAGAATATGCGATAAAATTTGTGGGGTTTGCCTACACGTACATAATTCATTGTATATAATGGTGTCAACATCCTCACATGGAAGGAGACCCACTTCGAATATATTATATTTTATTGGAAGTGGATCCCCCTCCATGTGAGGGTGTGAACCTCATTATGTACAATGTATTATGTACAAGTGGCACAATTCAAATTTGTGTAACAAAATATGATAACAAACAGATAACAAAATGTATCTAACAAAATGAAACCCGCTGTTTTACAAATGTATTGTAAAATATTAAAACAGAAGCATAATAAAAAAGCGGCATATTGTAAAACAAAAGTTTCTCAAGTGTATTGAAAGTTAGTTTTGTTTGTAGTGTTATGTGAAATGTTCCAATGGATAAAGTGTACTATTGAAGTAATGGACCCAAAAATGGAGGGTGTGTTTGGTATTTAAGTGAAGGACACCATGTAAACAAGCATCTTTATGTCCACCACAATCTCAAAACAAGTCTTTAAAAAACAGCCAGCACAGCCACCGGCCGGCAGTCAAGCCCGGCACAAGCTTGTCTCACCAATTAGACCAGGCCGGGCCAGGCCACCCAGACCAGTTTTACAACTCTGCTTCAACTCTCGTAACAAAACGAGAAACTCAAAACATGCAAACGAAATTAACAAGTCCCTTGCATCCAGCAACAGCTTTTCAAGAAAAAAATGCTGAAACAATCAATATAGCAAAATGGTAACTTCCTCAACATTTTATAGTTCTTTTAGTAATATGTATCCAGAATAACAACAATTACCTATATTTCTCACGAGTCAAGATACACTGGCATTTCTATTTATCCTTAAGTATCAAACAAAGTCAGTCAGTCAATCCCACGAGGATAGTCGACAGTCTTTGCCGTCTCTCGTGTCGCCATCCCATGGAAATAAAAATTTAATGTGCAATAAAAATAATGATAGTTATTTTTTTTAAAGGATAAATCTATCTAACCTTTATCATCATAATCAGCTTCATTTTTCTTTTTTCTTTTTTCTATTTGGTCCAAACTGTAGATTCCTAGCAGGGAAGGAATTATCGACTAATCAAGATCTAGACTCTTTTTCATGCTTTCATAAACTAGATACGTAATGCTTGCTGCTGGTACAACTTTAAAAAGATTCGGGAAAAGTCCTTTATAGAAGCCCCTAAAACCTTCGTGCCGAAATGTTCTCCAGAATACATCTGACATGCTCTTGTAAGCAGCATCTGTATTTGTACGTTGCGCTTGCATTCTGAGAACAAACTGTTGTTAGCATTACTGGGAGTAAGTAATATCACTTGCATGAAGGGAAGTTCTCCAAAAGGAATGTGAGCATGTTTGGCTAAAAGCTTAAAAAAGTTGGAAGTTATTTGAAAGTAACTTTTTGTTTCCATACTTGTTTGGATAACTTATTTTTTTCTCACTTTTAAACAAAAAACTAACTTATTTAGAAAGTAATGTTAACTTGCTTTCAAAATAAGTAACTTCTTTCCACTATATAAAAATCATTCATTTTAAAAGTTATTTGCTTTTAAGTGAACTGTTTAAGCTTACCCAAACAAGTTTATGTAAACTATTTACCTTGTTCTTACAACCTGCAGTGGGTAAACACATGTTGCTCCAACAGCCCCTGAAATTGTTCCACAACTGAGTTGCACGAGAGGACCGGGTTCTGCATAGACTATAAACTTTTAACAATTCCAAGAATCATGCCGTGTCTGACAGATTAACGACAGACTAGTGGGCCAAGTAATTAGATACTGAAAAATGCATACCACTTTCATGAAGAATATATTTCTTGGACACATCTTTCAAGGTTTCGTACAGGGTCAAGTCAATGCCTGCATAAGGGATAATTCCCAAAACAGACGGTAGCAGTCCTCTATAAAAGGCCCGAGGTCCCTCTTGAATCCATATATCTCTTGATAATTTTCCCAAGCTTGGAACATTTCCACCTTCACACACTGAGGTCTGTAATCGAGTTTTCACAAGATCCATTGGATAAATAGAGGTTTGTGCCACAGCTCCGGCCAAACCACCTGCAATTAGTCGTCCTACAGTTCCTACATCACCGCGTTTTTCTCCTTCAATACCTCCGATAACATTCTTCAACATTTCATATGTGTAAAACTTAATGGCACTTTCCGGTGCAACCTTCAACACGTTTATTCCGTTACCCCGGAAAAATCCCAAAAAACCCCCTTCCTTCCAAATGCTTTTAACTGCAGGAAAAATGCAAGCACGAGTAGTCTGAACTTGTAAAACCACCTTGAGACGATCAAGAGGCGCAGTTGCAGTACGAGATGCGGCTCCGGCAACTCCGCCTGCAATCAAATATTTTGTTGCGTGAACATGCTTGCTGATGCCTTCAGGAATTACAGCTTGTTCACCAATATCAACAAGATATACTTTTTCCCAATACCTATAAATGTTTTCTATGGTAGCCTCATGTGGATAGAGAAAAAGAAAATCTCTCCATTCTTCAAAAGTTATAATTCCATCATTGTCTTTATCAACATGCTCAACAAAACTAGCAAGTTCTTCATCATCAATTTCTATCCCTGCGAAAGGGAACTGTTGTGGCTTATAAGAAGAAGATAACTCATAATAGAAATTAATAACTGTGAAATGATTCCATCCCACGAACTAAAAATTCAAAACAAACATTAGAATTCGTCAAAAGACAAATGAAAATTCTGACGATATCTAATGCTATTTCATCTAAGGAACTAAAGCAGATAGTTGGCCCTATAAGAAATCGTAGAAACAGAAGTACTTTAGAAGATTTCTAATCATTTAGGATTTTAGAACAGAATTAAAACCTGTCAGTATGATCTCAGCTTACGAGAAAGAAATGAGGCCCCAGTTTGACTCGAGACCAAGACTCCTTATTCGAAAAAAGCCTTATTCTTTGGAAGATCAATCTCGAGTCTGGTACTGCATAGTTCCATTTTGGTCAACTAATCTAGAGCCAATGAAAGACAGCAACATAATGTGATCCTAGGGATGCTGATCATAGGTTAAATACAATCTCCTCGCTTGCGTCAAGCTTGGAAATCGTGAGTTGAAAAAAGAAGCGATTTTTCGCACAGCATACTCATAGTGCAAGTCCAACTTGTATATTGTATTTGCCAGAAGAAGTAATTCGAGGATTCTTCCTAGAAGTTACAACCTCATTGAGTACGACGAGTGTCGCGTATATAAAGAGACTCGTGACTATGGAAGGTATTCCTATCTGAAACTAAATAATCCTCCCAAAATGATATGATCATTTTTTTATTAAAATAAGATACAGGGCTGGTTCAAGGGCCCCTTGACCTCCATAGATAGATTTTTGAGGAAAACTAAAACTCCAAAATAAAAACTATGTTTGCAACCAAAATAATCTGACGTCATTTTCATGGATCGATGTGTTTATATACAACAGAACTAGACCCACAACTAATGTGGTTGTTCCATGACTCCCAATAGCCAATCTCCATCCGTATAAAAGGATAATGCATATGTAAAACTCATGTACGAGAAAATGAGGTCATGTATCTCCAACAACCCACACCAACTAGTTTGACTAATTCAAAATATAACTAAAACATAAAGCTACATATGGAAACATAAAATAAACAAAATAAGAAAGATAGGAAAGTATCATTCCATTTCCCTTAAAGACGCCCTTGTCCTCAATTGTGAACTTTGATATCAAATTTTCACCTTTTTTCTCCACTTCCAATCTATGATGAAGTACAATGAAAGTTTGAATCTTTTTTGATTAAGCATCTTATTAACAAATAGTAGAATAGGAGAGCATACATTACTCAATGACGAGAAGAAGAAAAAGGGAAGAAAAGAGACCATGACTATCCTTCAGCCCCTATTGATTCTTTATTTCTTATGATCTGAGCGTAATGACAGCAAACATAGGAATATCCAGATGAATGCCTCAAGAATGATCTGGTAGGTGGAGGGGTTAATTAAGCTGATAGCAAATTGTGAATTGATGACAAAAGAGCATTGGAAAATAATGTTAATGTAGCAGTAAAATTTGGGATTGGATGGCCATGGCAGAATGTTATATATTCTCTCCCTAGAATAATAAAGTGGGTTAGACCTGAAAAGGGGGTGTACAAACTAAATACGGATGGAGGCAATAAATCCTCCCTCGGGCAAGCTGCAGGACAGGGCATTGTTGATATCATGAAGGACGGCCTGCTGTTGCTTTCCACGAATTCTATGGGCGCTGCAATAGCTTTCCTGAAAGGTTAGACCATTAAAGCACCACATAGAGGGGTCATCTTATGCAAGCTGAAACAAAATGGAAGCATTGCTACTAGCTACCAACATATAGTAGATAGGAGAACCAGATTATCATTAATAATGAAAAGTCCTGCAACTACATACAGAAAAGAATTTTCTTATGTGCTTCATGTCGCGATAGAAATTCTTAACTTGCCGCCAATAGTTTTACAGTTAAAGTGGTAGCTGAACAGAGCATTGATTATGGTTTTGTGGAGAACCTATAGCTGTAGCATTTGCAAAAAAATTAGTGAACTTCCAAAGCAGGTAAAACTAAGAGCCATAACTAGATATGTATTCAAACCAAAATTTCTAACTAATTAAATGTACATGTTGATAGTATGCACATAATATTATGTAGAGGTTGGCCAAGTCAATAACCACTGCACACTGCAATCTAAGAATTATAATGATGTAACATATTCTCTCTTTTCCCGACATTTTAAATATCAGTATTGTAAACCTGAAATCAAATATTTACGCATAGTGTCACAGTATATCAATGACTTGAAGTACTGTGAACGGGATTATTTCATAGCACCTGTACTTCACTAACATTTCATCTATAGCCAAATCATCATAATACTCAAGCCTATACAAAAATTTATTGACTCTGTGAAGCATTTCACCCCAATCTAACCAGTATTCAACTCTACTACTATCAATCTTTTTAATCTACTTGTGCATCCAGGTCAGCTACATCATGTGAATATTTTTACAGCCAAAAATTGTAAGCAGTCCAAAGTTAAATAAAAAAGCGTTTCAACACATTTAAAAGTCTAATTGCAACTTGAAACTTAAAATGGATCAACAAAGTAACCAGTAATGAAATAATAAAAGTAATGATCGAGTAACAATACCATTAAACTAAAAGAACTAAAACAAGCAAATAATAGAAGAACACTAGAAAGATAACATTGAGGTTATATGTCCTAGGTCTACTGTGATTGGTTGTTTGATGCTGAAAAGTCGCCATTTCACTTGGGAGACACGCTTATTGCACTTTGGCAATCCCCGCTAAACTTTGTTTTCTTCTCTATTCTTCCATTTTTTTTATTCAGTTTCTCAGGTTGGGCTACGTTTAAAATAGCTCAAAAAACCCGAAAACATCTGATTCCAGTAATAACAATAAGAATAAAACAGTAAACCAAGCACAACCAGCTCTGATCACGTTCCTAAATTATCAGACAACATATTAATATCACCACAAAGACACCAAAACAGTAATCTCGAAATTGAAAAACAGTTTTATAGAGGCAATTCTCTGAAATGTAGAATAATTAATAGCATACCAGCCTTGACAAGAGCAGCCCATAACTCCACAGGCAAAATGCATCCATTGTGCTCCACATCAATAGCCTGGAAAATCCTGTACAACTCCAGCTCTTTATCATCCATATACTTCCTGAAATCTTGATAATCCACCCTCCCATCCTTATTAGCATCGTAAACATCCAAAAGCTCTTTCGCAAACTTATAATCAGCCGGAATTTGCATTGCCGAAAGGCCATTCTCGATTTGAGAATAATCCAAGTACCCCACGTTATTCGAATCAAAAAAATTGAATAAACTTCGAATTCTTGAATCCCTTTCTTCCTTGGTTTCCCTTAAGGCGGCTAAAACATGGTCTAATGATACCGGCCCTGGTTTTTGATCCGAGTTGCAGCATCCGGACCGGGCTTGTCGTTGGCCCTTTTTGCTTATGGATTCCATTGTTGCAGGGAAATTCACATGCCTTTCCACTCCCCCAGACATGATAATTAATTGGGGAAAATTGACACAAAATCTTGATTCTTCTTCACTGCATGAAGTAAAAAAAATGAAAAATTGGGGAGTATTTGTTTGTGGACTGTGGTTGTTCAAGATCTATAAAGATTATAGGTTTTATATATAGATGGATGGGTAAAATGGGATAGAGGAAAATTGGGAGAAATATGATGATTAGCGATGATCTTGTTGGTGGAAAATCTGTGGAATTGAACTGCCTCTTTTTTTCCGGTCAGAAAAGAGAGTCAAAGTTGGAAGAATACAAGAAAGCGTAGCTATTACGAGGGCCGTTTCTTATTTTAATTTATTGCGATATTTATTATTAAAGCAATAAAAAATGTATTTATGGTTTTTAATTTTTCCATTTGAAAAATAAGTTTTTATACTGTGGACCTTCTACTTTTAAAATAGAATTGAGGTAGTCCTAGCAAGTTTTGAACCATAAATCCTCTAGCTATTCATCCCTCGATCCCGATCGATCATTCTTTAGTCATTATTTCGTGCACGAACGGTTGCCTTGTTTTTCAAACGTCACGCATTTTTTTGGTCATTAATCAACAATATCTTAGATAGCAATATATATTATTTTCAACAATGAGGATCCGACGAACGAAATAGATCAGCTTGAACTTGTTACCCGCTCAACTATTTTGAATTGATCACATTTAAGATCATACTTTTTGACCATGATTGAATTTTATTTAGAGTATGTTTGAACCACATAATTTTGAAAGAATGTATTTTGAAATAGTATATTGATGAATAATGTGTGATTGAAAAAAAAAATTATTTATGTGATGAAAAATATTATTTTATTGAATAATGTGTGGTTGAAAATGAGTAGAAGAATGAGAACGAAAATTTTAATATGACTCAAAGAGGGACTAAATATACTTTTGATCAGAAAATTTCACGAAGCTTGAGCTTGCCGTATAACATATTTTTGCTCAATCAAATGCTAGAATATTAAAGATTTGTAAATATTAAAAAATATATATATGAACAAATGTTTTAATCTTAAAATCTGAAAATAAGAATTAAAATTGTCTAAAAAAATAAAGAACGAAAAATGTTTAATTAAATAGAAAAATATATTTTAAATTATGAATTCGTCCAAATTCAACTGAAAAATTTGTAACGATTATGGATTCTTCCTCTCTGTACTTGGAAGAAAAAGAATAGCAATACTGTTATGGGCAAGGGCAACAAAGAGCGAGCAAAGGAGCGAAGAGAGAAGAGGCGCCATGAAATTTCTCTCCTCCGCACAATCCCGTATTCCGACCACCAAAGGTAAAAGAATAAATAAAATTGAAGAAAAGTAACCTAAAACGGTGCTTTTTGTTGGGATTTTGACTTTCTTTGGGCAAATCCATTTATTTCATTGCATTTCTGGGATGAATAAAGTTTTTGTTAATTATTTTTAATTTCTGGTATGATATTTCTTGACATTCTGCTCGATTATGTTTTTATTTAAGAGGGATATGTGATATGAAGCCATTGTTTGAGTAAAAATAAGGGAAGAAGGTACCAGTCTGATTGCAATAGGGTTCAACTTTGATTCACATGTAATACTAATTTTGGCATTCCAGATTTATGTGATGTAGCATTTTGGGCATCTTTAGTTACTTTCTAAGTGTTTATATTGGAATTATGTTACTTCAAGTGTTCATTCGATCTGTGATAATTTGCTATATGCTTCACAAAATTTTCATTTTCTTAATGGGAATTAATTGTTTTAGTCTTCACGTGTTCAAAATTGGTTCCTTTCAAATCTTCTCAACGTTGCAAAAATACTGTTTCATGTGATTTGACAGTGCTACTAAAACTACAAACTTCGGTAGAAGAATACATTGTCCTGCAAATCTCGGTTAGTTGGTGAAGGTTGGCTCTGAAGAACTAAATTGTTGTAAATTGTGGATTGTTTTTCAGATGGTGGTCTTCCGATACCATAGCCGTGGTGACTGGGGCAAACAGAGGAATTGGATTTGAGATTGCACGCCAAATCGCATCGCATGGGTTGACAGTTATTCTCACATCAAGGGAGACAAAAGTTGGTGAAGAAGCTGCAAAAGTCTTGCAAGAAGGAGGTCTTAATGTGATGTTCCATCAGTTAGATGTGGTGGATTCTTCCTCAATCGAATTATTTGCTGATTGGGTAAAACAAACTTTTGGCGGTATAGACATACTGGTATAGTAACTTCTAACCACTCAGCTTTGCTTTTACAAATAGTCTATTTGGTTGCTAATCAATCTAATTCCAAATTAAAAGTGAATTTAAACCTTTGAATTGCTTCTGAAAATGAGAGAGAAGAAAAAGTTTCCCTTTTGTTTCGTGATGAAATGTCCCTTTTTTGTGTTTGGTTTTTGGGAAGTAAAGTTTCTACAATTGGATATTTTGATCAACTTTTAGTTGAGGTTTGATGGGACTGGAGTCATTTATTTGTTTTAACTTTTTAAGAGATTCTCCGGAGGAAGTTTCAAGTTTTAAATGTTCCATCTTACTTTTTCACATAGGGCCACTGAGGTGAGTATCCGGCTGTAAACTTCAGGGCCTTGTGAGATTAATCGATGTGCGCGCAAGTTTGCCCGAACACCCACGGTTATAAAAATAAAATAAAAATGTTCATCTTACTTTTAATCAGCTTCAAGAAAGATGTGATACCATCTATGCTTAAGCTAATATAGCTGCAAGAGTTGTTATATATTTTGTTTAATCATTTGGGTTGATGCTTGGCAATTCTCACTGATTATTTGCCTACTTCTAGGTAAACAATGCAGGAGTTAACTTCAATGCTGACTCGGCTAATTCTGTAGAATTTGCTGAAAAGGTTATTGATACCAACTACTTCGGCACCAAAAATATGATCAAAGCTCTGATTCCTTTGATGAGACCTTCTGCTTCTGGTGCTCGTATTGTTAATGTGAGCTCGCGACTGGGAAGGCTAAACGGCAGGCGGAATGTAAGACGTTATATTTCTTCTGAAATAATCATTGCTATTATATTTCATAAATTGGACAAAGACCATCTCCGTTCTTGCATAATTTTCCTATTTTCTGGGATTTGATTCTTTAGAAGTCTAATAGTTCTTGAAATTTCTTTATACACAAACTTGAGAATGACCAACGTTTGTTTGATTTTGCAGAGAATTGGGAATCTTTCTTTGAGACAACAACTCGAAGATGACAGCTCATTATCGGAAGAATTGATCGATCAGACCGTTACTACATTTTTAGAACAAGTGAAAGATGGAAGTTGGACATCTGGTGGATGGCCTCAAGTATTCACCGATTATTCATTGTCAAAACTAGCAGTCAACAGTTACACCAGGCTGATGAGTCGGGTACTTTCAGATCGGCCAGAGGGTCAGAAGGTTTATATCAACTGCTACTGTCCGGGCTGGGTGAAGACAGCCATGACAGGTTGGGCTGGGCATACTAGCCCTGAAGAAGGAGCTGATACTGCAGTCTGGCTTGCTTTGCTTCCTGATCAATTTGTAAGTGGCAAATTCTTCGCTGAGAGGCGTGAAATAAATTACTAAAATCGGGTTGCATTTTTCCTTTACAAGAATGTATGAGATGAGCATTTTCAGAAGGAATATGCACGATCTTTGATGCCATTTAGGTGGACTTGGCAATACTGAACAGAATTAAGAAAACATCGTCTATTGCACTGTCTAGTCCTGTAGACGAGCTACTTAACCTAATGTAATGGTGGTTTTGGTGCTATGCTTGGTTTGACATCTTCGTAATTAATGTAATGGACTTCATATCATCGTCTTCAATGTGCTCGACTGAATAGGATTATATAGAGTAAGATATGAACCATGTTTCATCTTATTCAATTCAACATAATAAATACACTCTACCTCAAATATTTTTAAGAACAAATTGAAAATGTGGACTGATATTTTGTCATCATTCCATTTCATCTAGAAAGAGCTGTTGAGGTAGAAGTATAAACCAGCCAGTGCCGCAACTCCCACCACAATTGCAATGGGCAATGCCCGCCTGCAAAATCGACAATCGAACAGTAAAAAAAAATCTCCTCTTTTGTGTTGTCGAGTTGAGTACTAAAGCTAAAAAAGTTAAAAATTTAAATCAAAATTAACAATTAATATTAACCACAAATTTCATGTGACAGACAGGCAAAACGGACTAAGAAAATGAAGGGGGAAATTAGAATGCTTACCCAATGGCTTCGTCTCTCTTTAACTGAGCTTTTCTGGCTTTTCGAACATCCATGTCATTAGCATTTTTTGTCACTGCAGGCTCATATGACCTAAATCTTCTCTTTGGGGCACCACAAACTAGAACAAATAAATAATAAAAATGTTCAACCTAAATTATTATCAGTAATGTTAAGTAACTTGACCCATAAATAACTCGAAACTTGGGACTGAATCATCTTGAATCAGTACAATTTATTTAGCGGTGTTAAATCTAGTTGATTTGGTCCGATTAGAACAGTCTAGCCCATGCGTCCATCTCAACCTAACTCGCCTTACACGAGTATATTGGTCGGCATTTGGCTCGACAGACTTGAAGTTTTATCTTAAAAAGTTAACGGATATTTATCAAATTCAAAGACGATGTGATTTATAATTTACCGGGACAGAAGTACTTATCAGGCAACTTCTCAAAAGGAGTCCTGTCATTGTAAATGTACCTGTGATTTTCCAAACAGTTAAAACTCATAAATAATCCCAAACGAATTCGCATTCGAAAATCACGACAACAAATATAAACAAAAAAATTGAAATTAAAATCACCCGCAATCACGACAAATATAGGCTTGTTTGGACGCAACACGCATGGAGAATTTCGGCGCAGTTGCTGTAGTAGGAGCATAAGAAGAAGATGGCAAGAAGAGGTGAACAGATGAAGAAAAAAACGAAGATTTGAGTGAAAATCTGTTGGAATTGAGCCTAAGGCCTGCATTTCCGGTAGGAGCTAAAGGAGAATTAGGTGATGCGTTAATCGGAGCCTGCAATTGCAAGGCCATTTTGTATTGCCCTTCTTGTGCTGGGGAGAGGAGATGATGGGATAAGAGAGTGAAATTTGTAGGTAAATGGAATGGAATGGACGTGTGGAAGCGTGGCAGCCATGCGTCCCACAGAAATTTCCTCACTTTTTTTTGGGGGCCTTTTCTTATCTTCTCCAACCTTCTTCAAACATGAGGTGTTCTATTTTTCCCAGCCTGACCTTTGAGCCAGGCTCAGCAGGTTTCGTACTTCATTTATTTAAAATGCCCGACTCGGATTCAAAATAGGGACTTGATTTGGTTCATAGGTTCTTGATCTCACGAGCCAAGTCGAACCGTACACGAGAACTTGGCCCGTGTCCAAAATAGGGACTTGATTCAGCCCATAAGCCGTGGACCTCACGAGCGGGCCTTTTTATTTATTCTTGAAAAAAATTAACAAAATAGTTGAAAAGAAATAGATAAGCAAAAATTGATCCGACAAACTGGCTCGTGGAAAAAAATGAGATCTTAAAACGAGTTTAAACTGTCTGTGAATTTAGTCGAGATGAGATGAACCCGTGAGCCGACGAGCTGCTCAATCGAAAAAAAGACTTGATATTAATGGAGCGTCCAAAACTTCGTAAAAAATGGGGTAAAATCTCAATTGGTCACCGAACTTATAGGTTGGATTTTCAAAAATTAATGTTAAATTTGATGTGTTTAAGTACTATATATTTTGCCACATTGGAGAGAAGACTCATTCCAAAATTTCTTGGATTGATGTTAATCTTGGTTGATGATTTCTGAGTTACATGAGACTAACACAGACACAAACGTGAATAAAAAAAAATATAAATTATGTAGAACAAATTAAAATTCAATGACCAGATTATTCTAAAAAAAAATTAAAAATAGAGACAGGCTACCTACCTAGAAGCTTGGTTGTGTTGGCTCGGCACGACTCCTTTTACACTATTTGATACAATCCTTCGTTAATGTCAATAAGATTCATAGTCGAAATTTAGAAAATTCCCACTAACAAGAAAAACGCTATTTGATGGCCATTATTTAGGAAAAACAATATTTTGAATAGTGATTCTTAGGAGAATGTGCAGTTAATATTTGAGTTTACGTGCAAAATATTTTATTATGTAAATGTATGATTGAGAATGAGTGTAAAAAAAAGATCTCAAATAATGATTGTTAAAAAGAGGCCAAATGTTGCACCTAACTTGCAGTCTTTTTTCAGTACTCCACTTAGCTCTATGTTCATCAAATTCTTCTACTGACTTCTCTGGGCAATTGAAGTTTTGCGGGCAAAAGGGTTGCCATTTTAGTTGTGCATAAATAACTATTTCTTGTGCGTAAATACAGTGACTAACCAGGTATTCAGCTACGCAAGAAAGTCTGTAGCAAACTAAATTAACAAACCAAAAATGCAACATTGGGTTCATTGCTATGCATTGCATTGCCTCTCTATGAGGAGGCATCCAATGCACCGCGAAGAAGTTTCAGGGAGAGGTGAAAACGTTGACGTTGAGGCAAGACTATTAAAATCCTCTCATGGTTATGGCAGCACGATAGGAGTTGGATATTGGCGCTATATTTAAAACAGATTCCTGCCTTTCTATTTGGTACGTTCCAACCAAGCTACGTCAGCTTTGCCACGCTGCATGCATCTATGCCACTGCGTCAAGCTCCATAACTTGATATTCTAGTATTTGCAAGGGCTATGGTACGTTTGGCTTGTGATGAAATTGAGATGAATGAACATTCATTAAGAGAAAAACAGGAATCAACTGTTTCATAAGAGAGACGTACATTTGCAGAAAAACATCCATCATTAACTGGCACTCATTTGCCAGCCAACATCAAGAAAGTATAATACCTCATGTAACATTTAGTACTTCCATGTCAATAAAAAAACATGATGCAGTAAATTTTACTTTGTAACAAACTCAGGTTGAAGTTTCATATAATTTTACCTTTCACTGTGTGGATTTTAACCAGCTTTATCTCGTCAGGATGCAGGACACGGGCACATACTCGCACAGAAATGACGTAGAAGAAGTGCCTCCCCACCCCGCGCCTGAGTAAGGTAACCCGGGGCACATTTTGAATTGGTCTTTCACCAAATAGTGTTCATTATCAACCATATGGAACTTCCCAGATATCAGGACCGCTGATTGGAAGAATAAGGAAACATTGCTGATTAATTTAGGAAATCATATGATTCTGTGCAATCCAATCTGCAAATCAGAAGAAATGGAGATCAGGAGTGGGAGAGCATGGTGCCATACAGCTTTGAAGACCCGTTTCTGATGTGCTCTTATAGATTGAGACGGTTTGTGAGCGTTATATCTGATATCAAAGACATGGATGGCAGGGTCTGCTGAACCAGAAGTAATATATAGACCATCAGGTGACCAAGCCTGATTAATAAGGGCTGATTGTGATTCACTACTTTCTTGCTTCCACCCGTATGAGTGGAGCTCCATCTGCCTTACTCTAATATCAAACAATCGAAGCTGGCGCTCTGGAGTCCTGCAAAAGAAGTAGATTTTTATTTAAAAGAATCATCTGACAATTCATGACAAGATACAAAATCACATGTATATGAAAAAACATTTAATAGTCAATGGAGCGTTCCAAAAGTATTATGGATTAAGTCATAATCCCCGTTTCTGAAAGCAATGAAGGAATGAAAACAAGCAAAGCACAAAAAATTGTTGTAATTCACCCTCAATGTGAGAGCTATGTTCATTGGCTGTTGCAGGTTTTCACCATGAAGAGGATTATAGTGGTGATCTTATGCCTCTCAATGTGCGTCTCTTACAAAATGGCCCCCTAATATATCGTTTACATTTCAATGAATATTAGGCCAAGTTCCCAATATACCCAATATTAGATTGAGTTGTGCGGCTACAAGTATGTTTAGGCTCCAAACCAGCTACAAAAATGGGGCCAAGCTATAATATATCTAAGTTAGGAAGCACTGACACCGACACACCAACATGCAATTTTTCAAAAAAAAAAAAAAAATATCGGCACGACATGTTCTGACATGCTGATTAACATAATACTATTATTTAAAACAATTATATTGTAAAATAAATTTATTCTTGTAAATTCTGACATATTGACAATATATCTCAAAGCGTGTTAGCAATGTATCTCCCAACGTGTTTCAATTTGTCGACGATGAGTCCAACTGTATGAAATTGAAAATAATGTGGACATGTCGTCTCTGACACAATCTATCTACCGGCATGTCAACGACATGTCCAATCAGCTATAAAAAAATAAAAAATAATTTGGACACGCCATCTAGTTTTCCTACACTGACTCGCCAAGAGTGTATCAGTGCATCCTAGTATCTAAGAAACATAACATAATGTAAAAATACTTGAACACATTATATTAACATTTAGGGATTGGGAGGGCAGGGGAAAGAGAAGGGTAAAAAGGACGCAGGAGAAGAACAAAATATGAAAAATGTAAAACGATTAAACAAAAATGTAATAATAAGTAAACTTACCCAGTCTGAACCATAAAGAGATTGAAGTCACATGGATTAGGTAGAACACTCATGCATTTACTTTCTATTTGATGCTTGTAATCTGCTCTTCCACATGCTAAATCATACCCAATGATACGCTTGTCGGCACCAACAGAAATAACAATTTTCTTATGCTGCATCCCAGCAACCCCCATTACAGCAGAGGAATGCATACTTCTGTGCAAAGCTTTAGGTTTCCATGAATCCTCTGCATCTTGCTCATTCCACAGAACTACAGCATGATCACTGCCTCCAGTGACAAAACATGATTCGTCCCATGGCGTAAATATTATGCTGTTAATAATGCCTTTCACATGAGGCTTGTCTTCCAGAAAAGTTACACGTGCTTTCTGTGGATGCCATTACCAAAATATGAGATCCAAATAATTATTGCCAAGAGTCAACTTTGTATAGCTACGCATTGAAAATAAGTGTGCATGGACCATGTATATAACCATCTATACCAAAAGGTTTAGCCTCCGTTTGGCAAAATTTATAAATCATTTATAAATGGTCAAATTTCATTTTCAACCACACCTTCCGATGAATCCACAAGTTATATCAACGTATCCACCACTCATTTCTATCTATTTATAAATTCTTCCCAAACGGAGGCTTAATTATTTGACGTTATTTAGGACCCGTTTGGCATGGCTTTTGGACTACTTTTATGAAAGTGTTTTTGCTAGTTAGATGGCTTCCTCTAAAAGCACTTTTAGAATAGAAGTGCTTTTAAAAATTAGTTTTCAAACAAAAATTAAGGTAGTTTTTTTTTAAAAACTCTTTTACGGGAATGCCAAACGGGCCCTTAATATTTATGCCTTTCTACTTTTCCGATAGTACAAGTTAAAGCATTATTCACAGCATAAAAGAAATCCAACATGTACATGGAATCAAATATCTGTTTCATTGGAGAAACCGAAATATTGATAACTAGCTGTAGATTAAATTTCTTGAAACAAAAAACAGATTTAAAAGGAATGTACAACACAACCAAAACAAATTTGCGGCTCTAACTTAATATTTTCTTTTCTAGGTCGCCACTAGTACGAATATTATTTTGGAGATATATAACTACATACTTTCATCTCAAAAAGGAAGGTAACATCTCAGCTTTTTATACTTGCATTGTCATTGGACAGAGCACGTGAAGTTAATTAGGTTTTATTTTCATTTAGAAGCTGTTTCAACTTCCGCCTAATCCCACAACATGCTCAAGAACCAAGAGCCGTCAAGGGACTAAATGGAAGACACTAGAGGCAAGCTTTTGATTATAGGAGCAGATTCTGTCTATTCTTCCTAGACAGACCAAGAGAAGAATTCCTTGAAAGTATAAGACAATTAAGTACAAACATCTGAGCGAAGTACGATCAAGGTATGCAGTCTAGCATATATAGTTAGTAGACAAGTTTGTTAGAGATAGAACAAACAAATGAGGAACAAGCAACCTTTCTGGTTAATGAGAAAAATGTGTAATCACCCGCACATCCATTCAGTGCTAAAAACGCTAAATTGAGTATCGAGATGTTTTACCTCCATGGGACGGGGAGTAAGCCTCAACAAGCTTAAAGGCATACGCCTCAACATAAACCAATAATATAATTTAAAAACTAGCAAAATATAAAATTATATTCATAAGAAGCCATTAACTATCTAAAATTATAATAACAAAACATTTCAAAGAGATTATAAGTCTAAATTACAACTCTAAACTTAAATAAATAAAGTAGCAAATATACATTAACTAGTAGTCATCACATAATAAGACCATTAAACCACAACTAGAACTAAAAGCCTAAAACAAATGAAGCAACTGACCAGCCATTTAGGAACTTATTTTTCGCTTTAACTTTAAAAGAATAGAAATATAGAGAAAAGAAATCAAAAAATACAAAGACAACGTGAAGATAATTATTGAAGAAGGAAAAGAGTGAAGTTATGTGTCATGGGACTCCTGTTACAACCTTTTTAATGCTGAAAACTAGGAACTTCACTTAGGAGATGGCTTTATCATGCTTCACTAATAGGAGGCTAGGTTATGCTTTCTTTATTTGTCCTCTTCTTTATTCTCAAATGCTTCTTTTTCAAGTTTTTAGAGTTGGATTGTGTTTAAATTAGTCTTAAAAGCCCTTCAAACAATCTAGGTTATAATAAAACAACCCAAAAGTTTTAAGGCAATAAACAAAAGCCAGAAAGAACAAGACAATGGGGTGCAAACCCCAGTCGCCCCAAGGCTTATGCCTTGAGGCGCATCTCAGTATGACAAGGTGTAAGCCAGTAAGCTCGAGGTGCTTAATAAAATCCTCATGGTGTACGCCTTAGGCAACTAATAACGGGTGTCAATGAGAGAGAGAGAGAGAGACAGAGTTCAGTGTGACAAATAAAACATCTAATGTTAGTAAAGGAGTACATTGGAGATAAAATAGAGTAAAAGGATTGAGGTAACTGAAGAAGGGTAGGATTAAAGTGTTAAGTTTCAGAAATTGCTAGAATGTTAGGTAATACCTCCTCCATTTAAGGAAAAGACACATACTAAAAAAACAGACTTCAAAAATTACATCTTTTGAGAGAATTAGATAAGTAAAATATATATATGTGCCCACCCACTTCCAATTGGCTTTGGGAAGTAACCCAAATTTCTTACATGGTATTTTTTTCTCCTTTGAGCCCTGCTCACTAATAAGAGGGAGCGTGAAGAGGTTGTGTCCTGCATTAGTTAGAAGAAACTTCCAAGAGAATTAGACAAGTCAAAAGGATCACTCGACCAATAGGCAATTGGTTTATGGATAGACGCCTATTCTTGTACACAGTTACTATCAAATATTTACGATGTCGGGACACAAGTAAAGTAGCTCCAACAAATTTTCCATTTTTCGTATATTTCATTATGAGAATGAATCTGATCACCACATACATTAGATTGGAATAAAGCCACAAAGATGACACGTTAATGTCTGTACTTTACACGGGTACATGTAATGATGTCAATCGTACATCTGCAAGCTTAAGATAATATAATTATAAACAAAAAAATAAAATAAAATATAACTCTAAATCATGTTCTTTACCTCTTTTCCCTTATGAAGATTCAGAATTGATATCTGAGAATCCCCACCATCTGCACTATAAACCGAAAAGAGGCTGGTTCCCTGTGGATGCCAAGCTATATCTTCTGGCCATCTCCTCTGCTTGGCTGATTGACAATCAGTTGTACTTAGACGATGAGCAGTTGATCTGCACTTTTATGTAATGAGAGAAAACAATTGAAGTCAAGAACTCAAATTACTAAAACAAGGGTATGGTTGAACTGAATATTTTAAGATTATAAGAATGCGCCACTCTTTGTTTTAATGAGAATGTCAAGAAATTTGAAAAAAAAAAAAAATCAAAGAATATGGATGAAAGTACTGAGATTCTTTCATAAGATAATAACTAACCCTCTGCCCTGAATTTGCCACAAATTGACATCTCCATCCAATGCGCTGCAAAATCATTCATATACACAAGAAAAGGTGTTAGAATCTGTAGAGTTGTTAGTTGGGATAAATAAGGTATGAACAACCCTAGATTGCTTTTTGTGTCACTAAGGTTAATATTTAGTTCTGGGCATCAAGCAATAGAAAGCTATAGAAAAAGTGAAAAGCCACTCCAACACAAAAAATAAAATGTCGTAAAGTCCGTAAATTTGAAGTAGTGAAAAGATAACTCCAGAACAAAATAGAAAAATTGCAATTATGAATTTCAGTACGAATCTCACATCATGCTGCAAGAGCTAATGCATGAGTGTGGGATATAGCAAGAGTAAGAACCTCATGATGATGTTATCATTCGTGTCATTCAAAATGATCAAATAAAAAACAAAGAATTGTAACATTTCTTTTTATGCACATGCAGAGGACAAAACCTACATAGCGCAGCTTAACACGCCTAAGAGCAATAGAAAGCTATAGAAAAAGTGAAAAGCCACTCCAACACATAAAATAAAATGCCATAAAGTCCGTACATTTGAAGTAGTGAAAAGATAACTCCAGAACAAAATAGAAAAATTGCAATTATGACATGCCTAAGAAAACCAACTCTTAACCAAATGATGCCCTCTTTTTTCTTTCTTTCTGAGGATAACCAACATCTCACTTATCAAAAGAATTTAGAAGCATAAAAAAAGTACATTTTCCATCTCCTGACGTCTTGATCTTTTAACAGTGTCCAAATTACCTTGTCACAAATAGTTGATCATTCGTCGGACACAGTACAAGACTTCTCAACTTTCTTTTGTGCTGACTAGATTGAAAACATCCTGTCTGGGTGCGGATTATATTTGGCGAAGAGCTGCTGCTTATCAATGGAATCAACTCTTTATGTTCTTTCAGCTCTACATCAGAACAAAAAGATAATGAATACATCTTGATTGATGAAAAAAAAATAATAGAAGTTAAGAGGGGCCATTTGCAAGTATGACTAGTAAATGAAATCTCCTGATACAATTTCCAACATCTACGAAGCCAAAGAGTCAAAACGTAATAACTTAACAGTGCGAAAGGACTTGAGGAAGAAGTCGTACCAAGCTTCCTCTTTGTTTTTTTAGATTGAGTTTCCATGGGTTCCTGCTGAGAAGACGTTCTATGAGATCTATCCTCTTTGGATTGTACATTATTGTCGACGTGAGTTGACCTCGATGCACTGGACTGAGAACCAGAACCACTGGAAAATTTAGCTCCAGATGCTTTCATCTTTATAGGTTGTGAAGTATTTGGAGTAGAAGACCGTGTAGATTGAATTTGTGTTTGAGGAGAATACTCCTTTTTGTAGAAAGGACTAACTGGTGTTCCATAAATTTTCAGATTATCACTGGACGACTTTATGGTTTCCTGGCCTGAACGAGGTGGACCGTGAGATTGGCTTCGAGAAGAACCTTCACTGACCTGAACAGGACTCGTGGATCTTCTTTCAACTTTAATTTCTTCCTTTTGAAGTGAATTTTCCAAAGTTGGCCCTTTGTCCCATCCTTGAAGATGAGCCAATTTAATTTGTGTCTCCTCCAGCTTCCTCTCTGCTTCATTAAGCTATAGACCCAATATAAACGAATGTTCATCCATGGTTTCCCAATAAAGTTAGAAGAAAGTCCTACAGCCAAACATTAACATCGACACTGATATAGAAAGAGTTTAAAGTTGAAGCACCATCAGACTTCACAGCAAACACGCAAACACACATGCAGATTGTTTAGGCGTTTTACAAGTCCAGATCAACCAAGTGTAGAAAAACCAGTCAAGTTTACAATCAAGCAAAACCAATGATAACAGACTCACATGAAACGGTTGTACAATTTCCAATCACAGGTTGTTAGAAAAGGGCAATCAAACACTGATGATTCTCTACCATTCATGAGTGAACAACTAGAGCTACCGCACGACTTCATATGCCAGTATAAATCAACACATTGTCCACTTGATTGGCCAGAAAGGTAACTTCATGACAATCTTGAGTAAATCATCAGAAAAAAGGACTTCCCAGATCATTGATTCGAGAGCAACAAACCACAGGACTAGTTTTCAAATCTTTTCTCTCAATAAACTCCATATTCTGGTAGCCAAAAAGTGACACCTCCTTTTTTATTCGAAAGAAATTTTTGTCATGTATATGAACTATAAAGCAAAAGGCGACACCTACTTGTCTATACCATTTGCACACAACACTCGTTAACCTTTACAAGTTAGAGAAGTTGACAAAATAATCTATTAGCTTTAAATGCACAATGTCCTACTTGTGCAAACTTTCTATTTACCGTAAGTGAAATTTAACTTCTATAAACCTCGTGAATTTTTTCCGCTAAATATCTCCCATCTGCGAATCAAAAAGTTCCAAGCATAGGCTTTTTGACCTACCACTTCAATACTTCAAAGATACAATTATATTGTGAATAAATATCAAAAATAAAAAGTAAATATTTAGCCATAATAAAAGCACAATCTGTAATATCCTAACATGTAAAAATAACATTTTATAAAATTGGAAGGTCAATTGAGCTGAAATAATAAAATCAATCATTATTTATTTTCATATATATAATATAATATATAATTCACATATAATATATAATTCACAGACGGATGATTACAACAAAAAAGTATTCCCCATCATATCTGATACAAAAAAGCTTGAATAAAAACATCAAGAAACCCAAAAAAAAAAACAATAATTGAACCTGGGATGTGTAATAAGAGACGCGTTGGCGAAGATGCACGACTTCTTTTGTGCGGTGATCGACGAGAGCCAGCAGTGCTTCTTCTTGTTCGTCTCTGTTTTCTTCTTCCATTGTTTTTCCATTTTCATCTGCTTTTTCGATTTTCAGCTTCTTTACAAACGGAGGCCCACTCATTTTCGAGTTTCGGATTCGATTTTTTTGGTGTGTTCTTCAACGAGGTTACGTTAGGGACGGTGTCGCTGTAGACAAGACTTTTTTGCAATTCTTTCTAGAATATTATGGGATCCATCCATCCAGGGTAAAAACATGGATCGGAATGGGTTTTGTCGTTTCTTTGTCCGATTATGCGCGTGACGTGATACTAAAAAATTAAGTGCTTGTTTGGTATGAAGTTTTTATGGAAGAATTGAGTTTTGAATAGTGATATGATGATAAATGTGTGGTTGAAAAAGAAGAAAAAATTATTGATGTGATAGAAAATATTATTTTATTGAAGAATGTGTGATTGAAAATGAGAATTGATTTACTGAAAAAAATCAAAATTCATACCAAACAGGCCCATGATTTTTGAATAGTGATATGATGGGAAATGTGTGGTTGAAAAAGAAGAAAAAATTATTGATGTGATGGAAAATATTATTTTATTGAAGAATGTGTGGTTGAAAATGAGAATTGATTTACTGTAAAATTTGAGAATAAAAAACAAACACCCCCTAAAAGTCTCATCAGCCTTCAATTAAAATTTTCATTTTCATTTTTCTACTCATTTTCAACCACACATCTTTCAATAAAATAATATTTTTCATTACATCAATAATTTTTCATTCTTTTACAACCACACATTCTCCATCAATCTATTATTCCAAAATACATTCCTCCAAAATAATGTGACACAAACACACACAAACACACGTTTCAAAACAATGAAAAGTGGCAAAACTTTTTTCACACTAAAAAAGGGAATAAATTGATCCAAACATTTTATTGTACAACAATTTTATGTTAGATTTTGAAACCCAGCTTACAGAATTTTTTGTTTTTAATTTATTATCTATTTTTATTTTTATTTAGATTTAATCATTGTCTTTTTGAGCCAAATTATTATAAAATGAGAATGAAAAATATAACCGTTATTGAGGTACACAAAACAGATAGATCAAACGGGAGCATAATCTCCATATCCTAATAAAATTCATTGTGTGATTCAAAAATTTGTGGCCCAACTTTTTTGCAAAAATATTTTTGGTTTTTTGGGTGCCAAATTCGGCGTTTTTGATATTGAAAATATAATAATATTTTGGTCAGAGTTAACAAACTAATCAAAAGTCACTAAATTAAAATTTAAGCGAGACCAAGATTAGTGTTTGAGGTAAAACATGAATATTCATATCAAAAATTAAGAAGAAACTAAAAAAATAAAATGCAACATGAGGCAAGAATGCCACTGCATTCTAAATTATGCTCTGGCTAATGTAACCTAATCTTCAAAGTCGAGACCACATCATCAATATAAATTTTCATGCAACTTTGGTGAGAGCCCCAGCCGCGAATAGTAGATTCCTTCGAGAGAACTGTTACAAAGAACCGTAAAAATAGTTTCGAGACGATACAGATATATGAGTAAACGATAAAAGTGATCATTTGACTGTATACCTGCAAAGCGTAGACTGGAGTCGATTTGGTGGGCAAGGTCTTCAAGGATCTGAGTCTGTTCGTGTTTCCATTTTTGCTGGTGAAAAAATATTACAGCACGTAATTAGTAGCAAAGCAACAAAAGTTAGCTGTCGTTGAATTTACAGGCGAAATATGCGATTGATTCCCAAGTTATTGCAAAGTAAAAAAAAAGAGTATATGGAAGTAGATATGCTTGCATTACAGAACCTACCCTTTTTCTACTTATATCATTTACCCCCAAAAAAAAAAAGAAGACGTTAAAATAAACTTACTTTTCTTCAGTTTTTGACACCTTTGAGCTCTTGGTTACATCCCATATTTTCACAGTGCTATCAGCAGAACCCGATGCAAGAAGTGAACCTTCACAACTGAAAAACGTGCAACAAACTAACAAATCTACATATACTTGAGAAAATCACCCTTTCAATTGATATTTGTAACCGTACCCAAATTAAATGAGAAGTTTGGGATATAGAAAATCTTCTGCACCTGAAAGAAAGAGACCATACGCAGGAGGAGTGACCAACCAAAGGGGAAATACAACGTCCGCTTGCAAGATCCCACATCATGATCTTACCATCTTCATCACCAGATGCCATGTAACGACCATCAGGTGACATTGCCAAGGATAGGATCATACTTCTATGACCAATGAAAATTCTAACGCATTCCCCACTATGAACATCCCACAAGCGCACAGTTTTGTCACTGGATCCAGTTGCAACGTAGTTGCAGTTCGCATGCCATTGCACACACTAAGAAATGAAAACGAAATATTAAGATCGAAATCTTTAGTATGAACAAAATTGTGTCAATCCAACTAAGATGTAAAAAATCGCTCATGACATCCTACACAAAACAAGAGAACGAAGTTAATTTTTTTCTCTCAGAACACAGTAAAAAGAGGTAAGTTCAGCACATATTTTGGGCGTAATACATCATTAACATTCCTATCCACAGCTGAGTTCGAGCTATCCACACTATGCCTCTCGTTAAATAATGTTAAAATAATTCTTCGATCTTTCTGTTATCTCATCATTAGAAAACAAAGCTCTTTGGTTCTCATCTTTAATAAGCTTGACTTGATTCGAATCTCAATTTTCCTATACCCGTTGCCGAGAGTATCTTGTGAATAACTCTCCCCATCCTAGTTTCCAAGAAAACTATACAACTTCTCATATTCTTCTACGTAGAACTTTTGAATCACCTTCTAGGCTTCTCATTTGGTGGTTTGCAACCCCCAGATTCTCCTATTATGTCCATTAATTTTACAATGTAACTAGTCAATCCTATTCCACATCCCCTTAACATCTTTGCATCTATGTCATCATGACTCCAACAGAAATTTGTTAATAAAAGAAAAATAAATGAATCAACTCCATGCCAATTTTTGAGTATTCTAAGGCATTTTTTTTCCAGGAAGAATGCTAAAAAGATCAATGAACACACAACGAGCTATCAAATATTCACATGATTTTTCACACATCTAACATGATCATGGACCATGACAACTGCAGCCCGTCAGGGATTGGAAAGCGTTGCAGCCCTCACTAGAGAAAACAATGAGCAGAGAGCAAGACCAAGACCAAAATTGAGTCATGAGTTTAAGGAAAGAGATGAGTCAATAGAATGAACCGAAAAGGAGTCCCTAACAAGATCTACCAAGAAAAAGGATGTAGAGAGTAGGCTTTCACTTTTTTTCTCCTTCTGTCTAACTGTTGCGATTCTGAGTGGATTTGTTGATCATCTTAAACATAGAAATAGATAAGCACACACTAATGCTGGCAAAATAATATCTACATGCAAGCACAGAGACAGAGAGGTGCTCACATCTACATCAGACAAGTGACCTGCCATTATTCTTAAAGGCTGTATTCTGTCCATAGACCAGATCCTCGCCGTTCGATCATGTGAAGCACTTGCAAAATAGTGTCCTAGTGGACTAAACTGCAATAGAATAACATCCGAATCATGAGTATTTCTGGCATGTTAGAAGGGCAAAAATACAGAGCAAAGTCACTCAAGTGTATCAGGCTTGTAGGGTTCTCTATTTAATCTGCAGATACTGGAAGCAGTGTTAGCTAAAAAAATGTTTTTGATATCACAGATAATTGAAAAATTTTCCATCTTTATAGTCATCAAAGGACTTGCTTCAATATGGATAATACTTGGCAGCATAATTAATTGATATAATGTGGAAAATTTAAGAGCAGCAAATCTTACTAGATTCGGGGATAGAATAAACTTGCATGATTTACTGCAGCCAAATTCAGTGATAAAATGAATATGGTCAAAGATTGTAGGTGTTGTTACTGTACAACCAATTTTCATTCTTTTATACGTAAAATAAAATGTATCTCTATAAATAACCTCGTATGAAAAAAAAAAAGAGATTCGCGATCATTCTCAAATCTTGTTCATATACTAATATAGACATGGGTATTTGGAAACAAAATTGCCGTCGAATATCTAGTTCAGTGATACTGAAGTAAAATCTTAATTCAGCATGAATCTTCATATCAAAACAAGAGTTAGGCAGCTAGATAGAGAAGTACTGAACCAAAACTTTTCAAACGGGTAAGAGAAGAAAATGAAGACATATTTGTAGTTTATTGGAAAGAATTGGACTACTAAATGCAGAAAAAAATATTGTTTTATCCATTCCACAAAAAATTTAGTACTTAAAGTGTGAGGACAGGACTAGCAAAACTGTTGATTTTTTAGTTTTTCCTTGATTAAAAAGGTTAGAGTTAAGGATATGGGTATACAGCTTACTAAAAAGTGAATATCCAATTTCCTACCTGAACGTCCCACACAGGATAGTTATGACCCTTGTAGCATACAAGATTTGCATTCAGTTTTGTGCTCCATAATCGAACTGCATGCCAACAATAAAATTTCAATCATATTTTACAGGATGAGAAAACAAGCTAAAGAAAATAGAAGCTTGTTTAGATAAATAAAAACTGGACATAGAAACGAAGGGCAAGACAACAGCAACTGAGAACATACTAGTTGAATCTGATGAAGAAGAGAGAAGAAATTCTCCAAATGGACTAAAAGTGGCGGAATAAACAGGTCCAGAGTGACCCCGAAATAATGTATAAGATCTTCCCCTTGCATTTGCATTAAGTATATTCTCATTAGAAGCCAACTCATTTTCTCCCTGCAAAGAAGCTGATACCAATAAATATCAGCACCTCGTTTTTTTCTTCACAAGTATATGTCCTAATTCACTACAGAACGAGGATAAATATAGCAATTTGGCAAGCAAGAAAAAGAATTAAAAGTTGTGACCATATAGAATTTTAAACAAGACCTTAATACATTGGCATTAACACCATGAACGAAAAATTCTCCATCCAATCAAGATTTAAGAAACAGAATAAAGAATCATGGCATATTCTACGACAGTCTATGATTGAGGAAATTATTGAAATCTACTTACAATTGCCAGTTTGCTGCCCAAGCTTTGCCATGTCCCAAACCTGTAATTTGTGGCTTTTGAATGAGCAAGGCAAACTTAACTTACTTGAGATACTTCAAAAATCAAACAGAAACCAGGAAACCTTTAACGATGAGTCTGAAAATCCGCCAGCAACCAGTGACCCATCATGAGATATCGATGCACAGTTTAACCTAATTAATAGATTCGTAAGATTTTGAAAAGATCGCTGTGACTGCAAACCACGTTAAATGATACCAAAAGAAGAAAAATAGATTTCAAAGTGAAGGCATACCCATTATGTGTGTTGATAAAGGTGTAGAAGCTAATAGAAGGCAATGTCATACTACTCAACTGCACCCGATTCCTCAGGTCCTCAAGAATAGAATGTTCCACCTCTGTAGGTCTGAAAGAGAAAAAGATATCCACAGCATAAAAATTAGCCAGCAGCTATATTTTGAAGATTAATGAACATTATTTGAAGCCAATCTCCTGCCATCAACAAATCGAAGGACATCCAGTAAAATTCACCAGTACGAATAAAGTTGAAGTAACAAATCCAGCCTCATTCAAGGTGGTAGAAATATATGTGAAACCTTCTTGAAATGAGAAATAATGAGTTTGATTTAAAAATGTGCATCATCATTTCCCTGAGCTACCTTTGATGCTTGATTAAATGATTGGAAGAGCTCAGTGCAGGATCAGACTTCTCTTTCTTTTTTTCCTTTTAATTATTTTGGTTGAGGGAGGTGGGAAAGGCGAGAGACATATTAGCATGCATCACATAAGTATATGATGGATGCAAATCTATATGTGAAAATGCAGATATTGGAGTTACATGGATTTCCTTCCTACAATGACCACGTACTATATGACTATATACAACACAATTTTGATCTACCTAGAACCTTAGTTTTTCGTAAACAGGCCCAACTTGAATATTTTTTTTCTTTCCCTCCCCTCTCCAACCAAAAAGAGAGAGAACCTTTTTAGTGAAAAAGATTTAAAGAAGGGGAGCAGACGAGGGAGAGGAGGAAGGGCGGGGATTTGAAATAGGAAAAGTAAAACAGGAATAGTCCAAAAAATACATTATTGGCAAGGTTAACTCTGGTTTTACACGTGGTGCTCCAGTTGCAGTGCTGCTCTCTGATCGAGAAGCTTTTCCTGTTGCAGCAACAACCTTGTCCTTTTTCAACTTTTTCTGCGTGGAGCCTCCTTTTCCACCATCAACTGATCTTTTCTGAACATGAAAGAAGAATAGTCAAAAACGATATGCAAGTCAACTTGAAAGGCGTAATGAATCTAGAATGACGGATGTATGAGGACTCTTTTAAGCTTGGATTACAATCTGCAGCTAAAGATGCATAAATTTAAAACATTCAGTACCTTATTTTCTTCCAATTCCCCGTCTTTCACTTCTCCATCAGCTTTATCTGAATCCGTAATCCGACCTCCTGCCTTCTCCAACCTTTCTCCTAAGGAATCTTCAAGCAACTGTAACAATTTAAATGGTTTTATAACTCTAACTGAGGAACTCATATATTCACTATGTCCATAATATTTAAGCATACATCATTTTGTCAGACGGAGGACAAGAAAATAAGAGGAGGATAAAAAGAAAAATCAAGTTCGAACAATAGAGCCCAGTTTACAACATTCATAATTCACCTACTGAAATTCATCTTAAATTGAACTTAATCGATCTAACATACCACAAAAATATCATTATCGACCAACAGAACATATAAGTTCTCCTTCCTAAAGCTCTGAGTAAAGAATAAAGATGAACAACCAAATATCTAAGTCAAATTGGCAATATAATGATCCTCCCATTTCCTGCATGACTAACAATAATTGTACAAGACTAAATTATAATTATTTAAAAAAAAAAAGGAATACAAACTTTCCAGCCATGATTAATAGCTGGCTTGCTCACTTTGTGTGTCTAATAGCTTCTGCAACCTGAGGTGGAATTTGTCCAAAATTCTTCGAGTGATAACTAGACCACATAATCTAATGATTACTTTCTTCTAACCAAGTGGAATCAACCTCATTACTCAACTTGCATGCCAATATTTGACTGTTGAACGACACATATGGTCTTCATCTATTCTTTTTAGAAGAGAAATATCAACCACCACGTCATTATTTAGATGTTACTGGTGAGGAACAATAAAACTAAACATTGTTTCATAGTAAACGACAAGATATTCCAACAAACTATGAGGCAGTATAGCATTATAAATAAGCAACTTTCCTGAAAGAAACTTCAACTCCATTAGACTTAGAATAATGTAAGAGTAGATGTACAAATATCATTTGTGCATTGTTGACTAACCCCCCAATGTATTTCTTTCTGATTAACCAGATTAGCAGCATCATGACCACTCCCGACAAGTGTGAAAACTTCAGCATCATCAGAAATTGAGCTTGGTTGACCAGGTGAAACTGTCAATTGAATAATCAGCTTCATATCCATTCAAACAAAGAGGATAATTCAAGAAGCAATGGAAGTGATAAAATAACAGAACGTTTATAGGAAACCTGAAATTAGAAATAAGGAGTTGTACCCTGGAAATTAATACGCTCATTGATGATCCCGAGCATTGTAATTGATTGAGTCTTGTGTAAGTATTGTATCAGAAGATCATAAGAGTACTGTCAAAAAGAGAAGAAAAAAAAGTGAATATGTACCCAGTCATATGAGCCTAACCACATTCGACATTACAAGTGATGTTGAGGCCAAGACTTGCATCCCCCTATCCAATGGGAAATTTTCAGCAATTCAGTACAAGTCTTCAAAAACAATGTGCACATATGTTAGCAAGTGTAGAGTCAACAATGAATGTAACTTATGAAATAGAACCTATTAACTATACGATTCAGAATACTAAAATCTAGAAGCGCTGTAAGACCCACATTGTTCCTAATGAGATCAAACACAGATGCTACTTAAACCCCCAGATGAATAAATTTTCATCAGAAGCAGAGATAGGATCCAGTTTAGTAGTATGAACAGCAAGAACCATTTTTTCCCCTGTTTTCCATCTTTTCTTCAACCAACTGAAGTTTAGAACAAAACTTTTTCAATTAGTTAGCAGAAGACCTTTTCCATCAAAAAAAATATGCTTTTTTACTTCTCTTCAAGTCTAAGTTATGTCTTCAATACGCATATATGCTTGCTCACTTTCATCCCTCCCCTCTTTGGGCATCTCAGCTTCCTAATTTGGAAGCTTCTTGATGAAATGAAGCAAGAATGTTTTTATGTAATTTTCTACAATAAGATGAAATGACTTGAAACCTGAATTGCAGTTTACTAACTTACAGTTGCACAATAGAAATTTCAGACTAATCTATTGCATGTAATGTAGCACCAGAATAAGAATTGTACTGTGTTCTTTGAAGATTCCTCATTTTCCATGATCAATTTTACATTTCCTCAGATGTCAACTCTTGCATTTTTCCATTCACGAACATGCTACGTTTAATTTTAAGAGCATTTAGAGCTGAGAAACAAAGTAAAGTATCAGAAACTCATTAGAAGCTCGTTTGAGAACAACTCCATAGCCAAGCAAGCCAAGTTATAACTTTTACTGAGTTCATCCAGTTTGTAGTTTGGTTCAATAATCTAAAAAACAAGAGAATTTATAGAAAAACACCAAGCAAGTCAAGCTAAACTGCTACCGATTGAGATTAGTTTGCTAAGAAAGCAAGCTTGAACACCCTATCGTTTTCTCTTGGTTCATATGGGCTAGTTTAGACCCCAAGAAGCATTTAATCTTTGGTGTAATAAAATATTTAATCAAGCATGCATTACCTTGCACAATTTCCAACTTAAGTAGCTCACAATCAACTCTTTTGATAATCCAAGATCTTAGTATAATTGCACCAAAAGCTAAGTAGCTCGTGATAAACAAAGAGAAAACAATGATAAATACCTATGCATATGGCCAAAAGTGATAGGAAAAGTACCTGACAAATCTTAATGCTCACTTTGCTCTGTCTTAGAGAATGAGCAAATTCCATTTCCTACAAGCGAAACATATTTTAAGGACAAGTCTTGTCTGAATACATCGAATTAAAAATTGTAGCATGGTTCTAGCCTTCTAGGAAAGTGATAAGACCTCCAGATGTGAGGGTGAAAGAACGCCTTCTAATTTTTGGAGGTCACGTGAATGCATCATCTCATGGTCTTCTCTGAAGCCATTGAAAAAAGCTCGAGCTGAATTCAGGAACACAGATAAGATGCTGTTAAGAGGTGTAAAATCACAAAAGAATTATACGAGTCACAAGTTGAAGAAACTTACCTTCCTGAATATGACCTTTTGCAACGAGATCCATAAAACAATGGATAAATACTGGGTACAATACACGAAGCAACTCGTGCTGCATGGTAGAAATGTGCAAGAAATTGGATAAATCAAAACACATTTTAAATCTTTGAGATGAGCATCTCCATAAAACTAAAAGTAAAACTTGCAACATTTGAAGTGCAAATCAAAAATTAGGTTAAGTCTTTTGAAATAGTACCTTACATTCAATAACAAGAAAAAGAATTTTCATCAAATTAGCACAAGAGAGTTTACAATAAAGGGTAGGTTGAGAATGTCGACAGATGAATAATGCATATAAAAATTATAATTTCTGCTATGTAAAGGTTTTAAAGAATGAACTCAATGGGGGCACGGAGCAGTTCATGTAGAAGGTGGACAAACAAAGAGTGTTGTGATCTCCATACTAAATAAATTAAAATTTTTATTTTTACGTATTTAAAAAAAAAATAGCAAAACTGAAAGAATCTAGATACAGCAATTTCAACTATGTGAGACTATTTCTTTCCCCTAAAGGTGATATCTTTCAGTGCCTTCCCTAGATGTCTACCAAGATCCCTAACCTCTTTAACTTTTGGTCTTCTCCCAAGACAACTATCTTCTACTCGTAATTTGTCTTCTTAATTTTCTTCCTCACATCTTTTAAAGAACTCATAATTTAATCTGTAGTTGGTTCTTTATTTATGAAAGTAAATCTTAAATAATCATCCAAAACTTTCTACCTTTCCCGATATCTATCAAAGTTTATGCTATCACTAATGACCCCTTCAACTAGCATGCCTTGTTCCCCTCCTATTGGACCCTAATCCGCTCGAATTTTATACAGTATTAGCGCATCAACAAGCCATCGTCATCTCGCACTTTCCAGAACATCACTGCCATTTCCTTCTCAAAACTTGGATCCAGAATTATAACCATTAAAGTACTTGAACCTTTCAACATGCTTAACCATAAGCAGCATCTTAAGAAAAAATTATTATCCACGGGCACACAAAGCCCTATAGTGTAAATATGGCAAATATTGTTAGTTCCATGCAATATCATTGTAGACTTGCAGATCTCATTAAAATGTCGTCTGGCTGTAAGCTCCAACTGCTCCTTTCATTCTCGAAATTTCTTTATGAAAATTATATTGTATCTCATTCTCTCTTGAGCTGTAAACTCTTCTTGAATATAGAAGATCAGTATCACTGCTCCAGAAGATAGTGACAAATCTCTCTGGCTTTCTCACATAATAAACCTTCCCTGCATGTCTCCATAATGTCTACAACAGCATGACACTTCAAAGAGCATTTTTAATTCACCCATAACCACCCACTTATCATACCCCTTCTGACTTAAACTACTACTAGTTAACTAGGTCTCAAGATCCAAGATTCCATTTCTTTATGTAACGACCCGACCTCTATGCTCGAACCGTTATATCATACGTACTGTCCGCTTTTGGTGGATATCTGCTCACTTAACCCCTCACGGATTTCTATCGTGTCCCTCAATATTCGAACCCAAAACATTTGTCTAATTAGAGACTTTAGTTGAATCCTACTACCAATTCCCGAAAACGTCCGGCTCAAAATATGACTTTCAAATTAAGTTCTGAATTAGTAGATGATGCCAAAGGGAGTCATAAAGGAAGAGACTCATATAATGTCAGAGGCAATACTAGAATTCAATTTAAATTTCTCAATAGGCAAAGATTTTGGGTTCGAATCTTAGAGAACGCGATGGAAATCCGTAAGGGGTTAAATGGGCATATGCCCACCCAAAGCGGATAGTACATATGATATAACGGCTTGGGCATAGAGGCCGGGTCGTTACAAAAAAACACGCATTTTTTTGTAATTACCCGTATCTCTATACCCAAACCATTAGCTTATGTACTGTCCGGTTTGGGTGGGCCTAGGGTGGGCCAGTGGACATAGGCCCACCCAAAGCAGGCAATCCATAAGGTGAGGAAGTGAGTTGGCATAGGCCTACCCAAAGAGGGCAGTACGTAAGCTAACGGTTTGGGTATAGATACCTAGGTAGTTACAAAAAAATCAATTGGTACCAGGATTTAACTTAAGTTTCTCATTAAACAGATGTCTTGAGTTCGAATCATGGGGGGAACGCGGTAGAAAGCCGTGAGGGAGTAAGTGGGTATAGGCCCATCCAAAGCGGACAGTACGTAAGCTAACGACTCGGGTATAGAGACCCGGGTCGTTACCCTTTAGATCCCTTACTGGGTTGTCAAACTGCATAGGAAGTTCCTGTATCACCACATGACCCTCGACTTTGATATCCCACTTTAGGGTATATAAGGCCTACATAATATTGTTTAGGGCATTTGGCTGAACCCTATGACTTTGTTTTGTAGATTCACCGATACTGGGTCAAAAATCTATCTCATCCAGTACAAGAACCTCATTATCATTACTTGTAATCCTAGTACTGAAATATATACAACCCAAAATTTACTCACTTATCGATACTTCCTATAATTTCATCAAAATTGTTTCAGTGGTGTTGATTGGAAAAGAGCGTAGCATTCCAGCTAAATCTAAGAAATTATTAAATATTTTGGAAAAAGTTATCTCAAGAGTTCAAATACTTGTGCATAGCACACTGCAGCATTTAAGAGTTTATGTGGGATTACAAATTCATTAGCCGTTTGATGATATCAATAAATATAATATAGTTTTTTTTTTTTTTTAAAAAGAATAAGTAGTGCATTAGTTAAGATGCCATTACGAGCTCAAGGAAACAAGAAGTTAGTCAACCACATTCTCATTACCTTGTATAGATCCAATGAAGTATAGGCCCATGACCTAAGTTTGCTATATCCTTCTTGGTACTGAGCAGGAACATTTTCTGCACTGAAAATCATGTAACAAATTAAAACCATTAACGTGTTAACCATAAAAACAAGATAGGCACATTAGCATTTCATCAGCATACACCATTCAATTAAAAATAATATTATTGTCAAAGTGTTCTTTCTCGTGCATGCAACTTTATATAGTGCTATTACAACTATTAGCCAGGAATCAATGTGAATTAAGGTTAGTGACACGGGTATTATACATTATTTTGGAAGGAATTTGGTCATATAGTGAATTAAGAAATAAAATGTGGTTGCAAGATCAAGTTTTGAAGTCGAGTTCAGAATAATGACTCAAGGAATATGTGAGTTATTGTTTTTAAAGGAACTACGAGTTACTCAAGAAGATACAATGAAACTCTAGCATGAAAAGGCGGCTATCAATATTGCTCACAATCATGTTCAGCGTGATAGGACCAGAAATGGTGAAGTTGATAAGGCATTTTATTAAAGAGAAGATTGAAAGCATATTTATTTTTATTGCATTTATTTCCGGCAGCAATCTATTAGCCGATGTGCTTAAAGGACTTCCAAGACCTACTTTCTATTCATATGTTAGCAAGCTGGGAATGATACATATATTTGAACCAGCTTGAGCAGGATGAAAAATAGATGTAATTTATTACATTCATTTATTATATAGTTGACCTTTTTAGCATAATTAGAGGAGTAATGTTAGTGCATAATTCAAGGAGTGGTGTTAGGGCATAATTAGAGGAGACATTTTAAGGCATAATTTGTAACATTTAGAATTCATCAATGAAACATATGAAATTCCACACATAATCCGCACAAGGACAGCAACTGAGCAATGTCAATGAAGCAGTAGATTGTTCATATTACATCATGTACCATATAGAGCATGAGCTGTCCTAGATCTAGTTCTTTTTCCAATGACTCTCTAGTCAACACAGAATCATGAACTCCTATAGAAGTAAAAACAACAGGCTCTTAATGGAAGCAGTTTTCCAATAGAGTTCCGAGGCTAAGGACTCCAAACTACACCCCGTTCATTATGCTTCTTACAGGAATTTAAAGCTAGTTCAAACTAAGCTGACAAAGAATTCAATCCAGATAATTGTTAAAAATAAAAAGACATGCACCAAACCACTAAACCAAGAAAAGTCGTCTACAAAAATTGATCAGGAAAATTTACAATCTCCCCATGAGTCAATTTCAAATTTTAATAAAATCCCATAACTTTAAACACCCAAAAAACTAGTATGAAATACTTGAAATTTTAAAAAGAAAAACAATAAAGAAAACCCAATGTCTTGTAGTTTTTGCCCAGCCAAAAAATAAAAAGACAAAAGACATGTTTTAAGTTCTTACTCGGATAATGCGAGGATATGTTTGGCAATATCAGGATCTGTGGAAGGAGAGTTGTTTTTGTCGCGCAGTTGCTGCTCTTCTTGTAAGGCCAATTCCGTTTGCTTAAAACCCTTCTTCTTCAGGTAAGCTAACACCGCTTTCTCGATTTCTTCTTCGTCCATAGCTTCTCTTTTCGGAATCTTGTAGTACCGTTATACGATTGGAACAATTAACTCCAACAATTGATTCTCGCTGCGAAAAACTATCACGAGTGAGCTCGATAATTCGATTAAGAGGCCCGGGTGTCATCATTTCTTTTATGACCTTATGGCTGATTTATTCGCAACCGAATGAATTAAAATCGGATTAAAATAAAAAAATTAATGTTTATTTTTATTAGACGAGTAGGAGTCAATAACAACTATATTTTTAATTTTAATTAAGTTTTAATTCCTCCCAAACAAGCTATATATATTTATAATTTAATCGATCATAAAAAAAAAACTCAAATATGCTTTTTATTTAGCCCGCCATTTTTTTGAAAAAAAACTTTATTTTAAAATAGTAATTTTTTGAAGAACGTATGGATAAAAAATAAAGAAAAATTTTAGATTTATGTGTAAAATATTTTAGGATGTCACTATTTACATCTACAATTGTTATGTATTCATCACACTATTCATCCTTATTAAAATTTTGAAAATTTTTTATTTTCATCCACATCAAATTTCAATATTATCTTTATTAAATTCATTCATTTAAACGTTATAGATCCACAAAAATTTTATATATTCATAGCCCTCTAAATACATTCCTAATATAATTTCAGAATTTTAAAAAATCACTATATTCATCCAAATTTTAATGTAAAATATTGAAAATGCAATAATTATGTGTAGAGCTAAAAGTCGTTAATGGTGTGGGTAAAACTCTCATCTTCTGACACGATTTTGTTCTTTCAAATACAAAAATAAAAATGGATGAAATTTGCCTTCATGTATTTCCTCCAATAGTAATACTAAATTCATCAAATTCTTAATAAAACGTAATCCTTACTTTTTTAAATTATTCCTTATATATTGCTATGTTTTCATGTATTTCCTCTAATAGTAATCCTCTCATTGTTGTTTTGATTTCAATTGAAGATAATACTGTATGATTATTAGAGTTTTATGATTTTAGTTAAAAATGATATTTTATGATTATTAGAGTTTTAGTTAAACACAAATTCTAAAAGAATACAAAAATGTTAAAAGAATTTAATGAAAATAAGTATTATTTGATGAATTTAGAACGATATATTTTTATTTTTATTTTATATATGTATATTTAGGTAAACTTACATATGATTAAAAATATAATATAATTATCTTTGAAAGTGTGATTGGATATATATTGGCTCCCATATTTTATTATTTCAAAGTGTGATTGGAAATGAATATATATATCAGAAATGATCTAATGAACACCGGTGCTCATCTTATCCTAAGCACCAATGAAATGGTACATTAATTCATAGGTGGATTGGAACTCACAAATATATAGAATGAACAAAAGCATAAAAAGGGATTTATTCAAGCGGGTCCCACCCCCATGTGAGTGTGATGTACACGCCGATGTACACCTTGATGAACCGGTAGCAAAACCGAAAATAAAAATTGATGAAATTTGCCTTCATGTATTTCCTCCAATAGTAATACTAAATTCATCAAATTCTTAATAAAACGTAATCCTTACTTTTTTAAATTATTCCTCATATATTGCTATGCTTTCATGTATTTCCTCTAATAGTAATCCTCTCATTGTTGTTTTGATTTCAATTGAAGATAATATTGTATGATTATTAGGGTTTTATGATTTTAGTTAAAAATGACATTTTATGATTATTAGAGTTTTAGTTAAACACAAATTCTAAAAGAATACAAAAATGTTAAAAGAATTTAATGAAAATAAGTATTATTTGATGAATTTAGAACGATATGTTTTTATTTTTATTTTATATATGTATATTTAGGTAAACTTACATAAGATTAAAAATATAATATAATTATCTTTGAAAGTGTGATTGGATATATATTGGCTCCCATATTTTATTATTTGAAAGTGTGATTGGAAATGAATATATATATATATAAAGAAAAAAAATTGAAGAACGGAAGAAAAACACAGGCTTAATCGTTGTATTACTTACTATGCATACATTATATTTGATCGAAAGGGCAATTTCACATGTTTAATTATGTGTCACTTGAATATTTAACGTTTACAAATATTCATTCGATAATCTCGTGGTGATGATAATTGACACTTTAGAAATCCTTTCCCATGAAAATATTTTCTATTAATTAGAAATACCACGTGCACAATATCAAATGGTTAGAACATGGGTACACAAATGAAAAGACGACGTTTATTATTATTAATTTGTAACCAGGTTCATGCAGTTATTTTTCAGGATCCATTTCTCAGTAGAAGTGCCATGTGGTATGGTCACATTTAATAAAAAAATTATTGGGTTTTAAATCAATCCAAATTAGTGGCCTTTAATGCTAACATTTTTCATCCATGGTTGGTTTTGCCTGCTGATAATGATTCATGGGGTTGTGGTGGAGAGGGGTAGGGGTAGGGGTTACACCTATATAAAAATCGGATAAGATTATTCAGTTCAACCAGAATGAGATGCAGTCCACAATCTAATAAAATTACATGCAAAAATGTAAATGTAAACTCTATCAAAAGAAACTTGGAACTAGCTAATTCATTCGAAAATCGAAAATTGATTTTATTGATTTATTTTTTGAATAAGAAGAAATTTTAAAATATAGGAAATTGTATTAAGTTAATTTCTTGTATTGACTTGAAAACATGAAGAGATCACGTAACCGAAATATTGATTCACTCTCCATATCTATTCACAAGAGAGAGAAACTTTTGATTATTTGGTAAGTCGTTTGAAGGCAGAATATTTGAAGGCAAAAATAAATAATTTTCAATCATAAGTTAGAATATAAAATGCCAAAAGCTGCCCTTGCAAACATCAAGAGCATTTATACTAGCAAAAGATTGGGAAAATGACAAAATACAAAGAGATTTCCCAAGATAAGGACAATGAAGCTTAAGGGTAAATGCTCAAATCTAGAAATTCAATGCCTAAATAAAGAATGTACATCTTTATTAGTATATTTAATCTCTAAGAGAGAGCGTGCCCCCAATAAAACATACAGAATATAAGCCTCTAAGAACATAAGAGATAAGAGGGTACAATATCCTCTGATTTCTATCAAAAATACTTTTAGCAGAAGAATTCAGGGCATCAGAACCCAATGGCATGCATGAAAACGGTATATCTTCAAGGAGTGTTGAAAATGGGCAGACACTGTTGACTGAAAGAACCGATGACAAGAATAAAATAGTGAGACACCCTCAATGGACGAGATAAGAAACAATTTTCCTCATAAAAGGCAAGAAGGTCGTAGAGGATCGAGGGCTAAAGGGTAGAAGATCCAGTTCAATTTTTGGGTCAGACCAGTATGAACCGAAGTGGAACTCAGTCTCATCATACTGTAGAAAGCAGAAGTGAACTGAGGATCAGTTCAATGCTGGAAAAGATGGAGTAACCTTGTCTGTCATTTCAGGAAGATAAAAATATGGGGGTCTCAGGTAAAAGGAGTTAATGAATCCTTCTGGACGATGAGAAATGATTTGAGAAGGGATGGAGTAACCTTGTCTATGATGTCTTGGACAGGAAAACATTAACAGATGATTCATATAGACTACGAGGATGAAATGGTGGAGGACGAGGAGACTGAGCCACTTTTTCTTGGAAGATATCATAGCTTACCAGAGGATGGCCTTTTTTCAGAATTTGAACAGGTAGCACAAGATGAAGTCGGTGAGAGTCGATGAAATGAAAAGGCTGCGACAGATGACAGAACAGAGCCAATTCCTTCACCAGTGCCAATATCAGGTTATCTGAATCATATTTTTCGACTAGTGTTTCTCTCCCTCAAATATATGACACTAAAAGGTTTTCTATTGGCAGAGAATAAATATCGACCATATCACAAGGGATATTCAAATCGAGGTAAGCTCCATAAATCTGTATTGTGATGATCTATTATACTCATTGATATGATGCATTTGCATTTATCAGGTGCAGAAAGTGGGAAACGGCCTCAGCCAAATTTCAGGACAGTCTACTATGTTTTGGGAGGGAGTGAAGAGAAGTAGATTTTCATCAGACAAATGTCAAAATATTGATGTAGCCTATCACTTGAAAAGAGTTCTCCAGAGTAACGCTAGTCTGCTGAATACACAAGTTGAAGCTCAAAATATGAACTGTCAAGTCGACAGAGAGCAGAGAAAGCGCAACAGTTTAGTCACTTCTCTTGACAAAATTACAGATGCTCTAGCAAAAATTGCGGATAAGTTGTAACTGCGAGCATCCATAAATACCTATTGCATGTTATGTACATAGTATTGGACATAACTAAAGATTAATGATTCCATTTCTTAATAAGTCCAGTGCTATCCAATCCATCCTACCAAACATGCCAGTTGCCACTATGATCCATGAAGTGTTCTCGTTCTGTACTAGTAGGAAGATCAAAAGTAGGGCAGTTTTCAGTGAATTTCTCAGATTTCTCCTAAATTATCGTTCTTACCCAGTCTGCTTATTCGATAATTTTGACTATTTTTGGTTAATTATTGTATCTATAGTCCATTATGTTCAATAAACGAAAATCTTAATGTCATCTATAGCATAATTGGAATAGAACTAAATAAAGTAACTTGTTCATTTCTTGACCTTGATCTTACTAAATCAATAAGATAACTTTTTATTTTTTTTAAAAAAAAAGAACAATTCAGCAAAACAAAAGTGTTCGCTAAAAAGTAAAATAAAAATACACACAATTATATGCATATGCAGAGGTGCAGCCACGAAGGACTCCAGCAACATGCATTGACACCATTTACACTTAAAGATCGAGATTAACGAAAATTCTTCCACAAAGATAAAGATTAGTAACATAATTCTGTAATCTAATATACATGTTACAAGTCGAAGTTTACTTAAAAGAAAAGAAAAGAAAGTATCTAACCTTCTTCTGTGTTAAGCACGAACAGCCTCGACAATATTAGCGAAGTAAAATTGAGTAGTAATTAAGCCTCTCTTTCTTATTCTCCACCCAACTTTTTGCAATGCTCTCTCCACATCAGCCTCAGCATGCAGATACGCTCTTGTAGCCTTTGAAGGTCCCGGGAACAACTCCCCAATTCTCTTCAACAGAGAATAGTAGAATGTCTTCGGGGCAAAGCTCAATATCAATCTATTCTCAGCCAGTGAAGCAAGGTGGGCAATCATAGCATCCGCCTTACTTTGTGGATAGTGTATTAAAACGTCTAAGCAGACAACAGTGTCATACTTTCCACTCAAGCTCTCTAAATCACTCACTTCAAATTTCGGCATTACTAATCCCGAAGAGAGCTCATCTTTGCCTTCTAAAAGCTCTTCTCGTGCCTACAAAACCATATGAACAAAATAATCGAACCAATATCTCGAAGGACAGCACTATAGATAACAATTTGGTCATCTCGATATTTTGGTTAAGCACTAATGTCTAGCTATACAAATTTGTAAAGATTCTGAATAAATTTGTATTTTTAAACGAGATAGTTCGACGTAGCAGAGTCTCACCCACAATCATTCATAAAAATCCTAAACGAGCAAGATGCTTAAAACGAAATAAATAAATAAATAAATTCATCGGCTCTTAACAAATTAGAACTTTTAGACAAATTAGTTCAATAACGAATGCCCACCTTTTTCTCAGCTTCTGCAACCATAGCAGCCGAGATATCACTGGCCGACACCACGGCGCCCTCCTTCGCCAATGGAATTGACAAACTCCCGGTCCCACACCCGGCATCACACACTGTAACACCCTTCAATGACCCCTCATCCGTTAGCATCTTCATCACATTCTCCACAGTTTTCGAGTGCCCAATTCTTATGTCTAGCTGCACTTTGTTTACATCATCCGTCTCTCCATATATCCTGCGCCACCGCTGGAACCCATCGTTGTTGAAGTACTCCTTGACGACTTCCTTGTCCCCGCCGCCCACCTCCTCCGCCTGCATTTGCCGCCGCCTCTCAGGGTCGGTGAGGGAAATCACGGCCGCGAGTGTTGCAACTGAACTTCCACCTATGACGGCTAGAGTGGTGCTGTCGAATGGGTTACCCACAACGGAGACATCGGTGGCAGTTAATAGTGTGGGAATGGCGGCCACGACTCCAGGGTTTTTCCGGCGATGACGGTTTTGGAGTCTTGGGTTCGGGGAGACTTGTATGGGACAGAATACGGACGAAGTGAAGGCCATTGTATGAGCAAGTTTGTCTCTCTCTCCGGCAGGCGGGAGAATTTTTAGTTAAAATTGAGGATGTTTGGGTAGTTGACGATGATAATGTAATCCGTATCAGCCATCAGGATAACTGGGATAGGAATCGCCCAGCACTATGTGGGTCCCGGTCGCCCCAATTGATACTTTCTTGTTTCGAGTCATCGAATCATTGAGCAAAAACATTTTCCCAAACACCTAAGACGGTGTTCTCTTTGTGTTTCAGTTTTTTGTTTTCTGTTTTGAATTCGTTTTGTATTTTGTATTTTGTATTTTGAGTGTCTGTTTTGAAATTACTGAAAATGCGTTCTTTTTGTCATTCTGGAAAACTGTTTCTGAAAATAGAAAACTAGAAAACGCGTTTACTTTGAAATTCTGAGAAATCTTTTTAATAATATTTTATTCAAAAAATCTGGTTATTCAATTAATTTTAATAGTTTAATGTTAATATAATTGAAAATAACATATAAATTTTAAAATTGTTATCAAATAGTTTCTATGCTCGTTAATATTTCATTGAAGAAACCGCATAAAGAATCATACTTTCCTGATAAAGGAAGAATACAAATATGAACACGTAAGGAAAATAATGAATCATCATCAAACTTTAAATATGTTACTACTTACTCACTCATCTTTAATTGGTTACCCAATACTCACTCATCTTTTCACATAATTACTCATCCACCATTCTTTAATTAACATTTTTAAATTGTAGATGAAAAATTGCGGATGGCAAATGACAATCCTACGTGGCAAATGGCAAATGAAAAATTGTAGGTGGCAAATAATATATTTTCATGATAAATCCTACTTTAGATCATTATAATTAATTCAACGAGTTAACAAAATTTATAAAACATGTTTACACGAATAAAAAAAAATTGCATGAAAACATGTTTACACGAATAAACAAAATTTATAAAACATTTTTCATTTAGATTTAAGGTGACATACTTAAAAGACACATGCTCAAGAATTGAGCTAAACTGGAGGAAGCCACGCTTTCTCCCTGATATTCATTGGTTAGTCTTTCATTTTGTTATGGAATTGATAACTACTAGTAAAAGAAATTGAACTGCTCCTTCAATTGCTACTTCGCGAATTTTACAGTCTTCCTATTCTCCAAGAAATCACCTCTTGTTTTCATCTTCACAGGCAATGGAGCTGAGAAAAAAAAACCTCCCATTTCGACCTGTTTACTTTCACTTTTTTCATCCTCAGCCTCCTTCAAAGGCACTCCAATTTCTTCCAACTTCTTGGCACAGATTGTCCAGGAGCTCTCTCATCATCAATTAATCATCCCCATTAATGCTAACAATACAGTTTCCGTTTTCGAACATGGCTCCACGGTTGATCTGTAAACCCTATAAACATTCCCATTCTCGGCAAAGGTTACATTTTTTCTTCCTTTGGATTGAACCCCATCACCCCTTTTCATCAAACTACCATTTCTATTCTGAAAAACACCTTGATTTCTTATCATAGAAATGTCACTGACACCAGAGTTTTCAATTAACTCAACTCCCTCCTCATCGTACTGAGATAATTTATTGATCCTTTCTACTAGAACAAGATACTGCAGAACACTACCAATGACCAGAAATTCCGCCTCCACCTCCATCTACACTTCCTCTCTGCGAATTCACAGCCACGACAATTACCCAATGCCGCCTCAGAAATTCCCCCACCACAGCATCAATAAAATTATTTAACACCCAACAAATTACAAAATCAGAGGAGAAACATGATTGAAGTCAACAATTATAGAATAACGGGAATGGAAAACGACTAGATGCACGCTTCGGATTGTGGGTTCGTGAGATGGTTTCCAGAAGAGCCTAGGTTACGGGCGACGGAGACGGATCGACGAAGTTTACGGCATATGCAAAACACTGTTTGCC